GGGTGCTCGTCATCCTGCAGTCCGACACTTGATTCGGTCCAAATATGAATTAGGGGTCTAAAAACTCGACAGTAAGTGTACATGGGCTCATTTCGCACCCCACTCTCATGTCCTGAAGCTCAACCAGGGTGCCCCGAATGTCTGGTCGCCCTCGGTACCGGTAAGTTTTCGATTCCAATACGCACGTCTCCCTCTCAATGATCTCTCCAGATGAAAGGCAACCTGCTCGGCGCCGTACGCTCTCATGGCGAATTCTATATGGTGCACCATGGCGACCCGACGAGCCGTGGAATGGTCCCCTCCTTGGCCGTCTGCGTTACACGTTTTCGATCCTACAGATCATAGAATATCCCGAGGGCGGCTGGGGTTTGCAGTCCTCCGTTATTGAAGAATGGCAAGCGTTGGAGTACAACATGCGGGCGGTCAGCGGCGCCATGCTCAATCACTGCTTCGCGCAGACGCCGCGCATTGTCGGCTTCGCATCTCCTTACCGCTTTGGATATGAAAAACGTCGATTTAGCGAGGTCACGGCACGACGCATTGCACTACGCTCAATCTATGGCTTTCTGCCTTTGATTGGGATGCTGTCCATGTACTTCATGCTATTTGATGCGATGGGCGACAGTGACTGGCGTTGCAAAGTCGCAACGTCCGCTGGCGTCGAGATGGCCTGGTTCGACGAGCTCGAGGCCACTTTGGCTTTCCATCGAGATACTCCTCGCATCGGAGGTATTATCGATTTTAGTTATGCCGCGGCGGATGATGATGCGCGGACTAAACTAGACTTGATACTGGGGTCGATTATTAGGCTGGATCTCCCCATCCCCGCTCTACATTCGATACGGCGAAATCACCTCTTCTTCATTGTTCCCTCTGCCCGCCACACTGCGATCTCTGGGCTTCATTCCAGATGAGCGGGAAATAGCGCATCTGACTTCAATTCCTGGCGATGTGGCTTACAGCCCCTGGATGGAGACCAGAACCGTGGCCGACGACTATCCCGGCGTTGCAGTAGCATACAACTTAGGAGCCGTCGCACCGATCCCCCCGTTATTCTGTCGCCCAACACCACATCTCTGGCAACAGGTTCCACATCTCCCGCCGCAGTTCCCTTCTTTGGCACATCGTCTACGCCTCCCCCTCCTGTGATGTTTGCTGTGGAGAAGTTCAGCGGTCAACGTCTGGGGGAGGAGATGTCGGTCTTTTTCGCCCGTCGCAAAGCAGCGAATGACTCGCGTGCTCTATCAGAAAATTTGGAGCAGAGGTCTGCGCGCTTGCAAAGGGAAAAAAAAATGCCGCCAAAGGCCAAGTTCCCGGCAAAAAGCAGCAAGGCTGCTCGAGTTTTTGTCTGGGAGAAGGTGGATGGACACTATATTCGCCAGGCAGCTGGCCGCACAAACTACGAGGACCAATGGGAGGCTTTTGCACCGTCCCAACGCGTGTACGACTCGTTCCGTAACGAGTGGGATCTTTGTGAAACATTCGGTTCTGCAGTGGATTGTGGGTTCATCAACGGAGAGGAGTCTGACGACGGCGACGACAACGACTTCAAGATCCCACTGTTACCCGAGACCGACCACCTGGCGCAGTCCGCACACACTTCATCTAAGGTCGATCTTGACCGAATATATCCTGCCGCTGAGACCTCCGTTGATGAGCCTTACCAATTCGAGACTCTCTCTGCGGAATGTCAAGCACATCTTCGTTTCGGGTACGTGTCCAGTGGCCCTACGACAAGCGCCCCGCCTACTCTGAAGCTTCCTACTCCCGTGGTCGTCGCCAAAAACCCTCGGCAACAAAGATGTTGTCCTCCCCAAAATGACCAACTATTAAGGCTGCAAGTGTTCCTCGCTCAGATGAGAGACGCTTCCCACCTAGACATGAGCTCTAGAGATCTGTTCGACTTTCATTCCGAGACCGGAAGTTTACAACCAAGTATGGAACATGGATATCTCGAGTTTCGAATCGGGTGGCAAGACGTACTACCGTGTCCAGGAGTACGATGTGCCAGGTCGATTCTGCATTATTCTCAGCCGCGCAACAACAGCACTAGAAATCGCTCGGAGCCGGTGGGGCCCCGATCTAGCGAGCGTCGCCCGGCAGCTTCTTTCCCGTGGGATGTCATTCCGGTTGTGCATCACGGACTCCGCCGGCACTTCACGTCTCCCAAATCTGTATCTGCCCAGATATTCCGGCTTAGGGTATCGCTCTCAGGGCTATAAACCAGATAGGTGGGACTATGCATTGTATGTTAGCAACCGCGATAGGTTTCTCATGACAACTCGTGGGCATGCTGCGCTTCGCTATGGCGGTGTTGTCGGGCGGATCGCCCAAGCTGTACTGCTTTCGGAGGATGCGTTGCTGGGGCCGAGCGACGATGTTACAGAACATGGTATATGCTTTCAAAACCGGCGGTCCAACGAACTGTATTGGGATGACGAGCTGATCGCCGAGGAACTGGACTTGATCTGTGGAATCTACCACGTTGCTACAGGTAGCTGTCTTTCATTTGTTGTCACACTTCACTGACCTGAATCAGGGCAACGCGATCACTCTGCACCCGGCAACAGACAGACATCCACTATCTCTTGGTGGCCGCGCCCTATATACTTTGAAAAATCTGGACTGAACGTTGGGTGGTGGAGTCCAGCGTGCAAGGATTTCTATCAAAAGCGTCTGAAACAGATCGCTCGCGGAGATGCGACTCTGCCCACCCAGGGAGAGTGGAAGAACAACATGAAATTTGATAGCAGAGTTCCCGCATATATTGAAAGCGCCGAACGCTGTGCCGCACAGGTCCTCCGAGTCCTGCGCCCAACTTGATTATCACTCGGACCAATATCTTGAAATGTAGCAATATACCTACCTGTCTGTATCTTCTTGTCGTATATTTTGTTGTACCGTCTATATACATATGTATTTGGTATGTAATATATAGAATTTTGAATCAGCTGCAGACCGACTGCCGCCCGACTGCAGAACGTCTGCAGAACGTCTGCAGAGGTACTGCAGACCATCTGCAGAACAATTTCACATGCAGTGAATTTTAAAGCCTCACTTACAATTCCAGTGTGCGGTGAATCTGTAATCGAATTTTATAGTTTCACCGTCGCTGAATCAGTAATTGAATCTACTGTTTTCACACACAAATTCGGGCACGCTGAATCTTTTAGCTTCGCGCTGGTTGAATCTGTTTGTGAAACTTTGCACTTCGTCCACACTTCCAAGTCAGTGGACTTTGTTTCTGAAACTTAAAAATTCAAATGCGCTGAAATCAGAACTGAATCCATAAACTTCGTCTAAAGATTCACATTTTACTAGTCTTTGAAATTAAGTCACATTTTCACTGCAGCAATGAAACCATAAGATTCAGTTACAAACTCACCGTAGGTTAAATTATTCATTTTCCGGTGTGTCAACCGGGACCTCATAGGTACGTTTAGCTATAGGCAAATAATGACGTACCTACGAGGTCCAAACGTAATAAAATACTGTACTATTTCGACCGTAGGTTCACAGCGGGGACTGAACTGAACCTATTTTTTAAGGGTCACAGGTCACCGGAGGTCCTGAACTATGGGCCGAATTGTGCCAAAAATGGCCTGGAAAATCAAATTTTCTTCTCAGCCCCTTTTACTGTGATTTCTGCTTCCTAGAAGCATTTTTTTTTTGCCCCGAGCTTATTAGCAAACGATGAAATATGGGTTTTTGTATATCAGCGCACCGCTCGTTTTTCGTTGTTGTGACGGAAGCGAGTACGTCGAGTTCCGGCACACGAGAGTCAATCAAAAGAACTGGTGTAAGCACTAGATTGACCCTAGAACCTATCCGAATACAGCTCACTATTTATACTACGGAAAAGAGGCGGTGCGGGGATCTGATGAAATATCAGATGAAGAATTCGGGCGGCATGGGTATGGGGCATGGAGATGGCATAATAAAAGCATGGTAAGCATGAGAGCATGGAGGAATAAATTAGAATGCGTCTGAGTGTCACGAAGGCGTGTTTCCGTTACAGTTGTGGAGCTGCCAAATTTTGACAATAGAGGTTATTAGCAACTATCGTTCATTGCTGGTTACCGCCCATCTTCAGTGAAAGCCACCAGCTGCCACTGTCGTTCTCAGCATTTTTATATTATACAAGAGCGCGGCGGGCCGCGACCTCTTCGGTCTAATAGTTCAAATCGTCCCGCTCACTAAAGCCGCGGAACCCACGACTTGACAGAGAAGGTGATGTGGGGACTTTGTGTGGAGCGGCGCAGTCTTCCGAATACGGGCCGTCATTGAGCCGAACGTCTTCAGGTCCACCTTTTCAGTGACGAAGATACCCCAGACAACAATCTTTTATGAAGCTGAGCTCAAGAGGACTCCAGTGGTAAAGTTCAGTTCGTGTGAAGAAGGGGACGGTAGTTTTGGCAAGCAGATCCGAGTTCGGACGTAGCAGAGTTGTCAGAGCTTAAAAAAGCTTCAGACAGACAGACATGCTAATTTTATAAAGAGGGAGAAGCTCCAGGATTTGTAGGAGGAAACGATTCAAGTAATGGATTTGGGTCTATTGAACAATATGGTTGGGGCTTCTGGGTGAGATTTGGATCGCACATGATATTAGGGAGGTTGGGCAAGGGCCGCGTGCAGCTTTTTTGCATTGTGCACAGGTCGTGCGATAAACCAAGGATTTATGAGTGGATTCATGTTCATTTGGATGAAATATGGATATTTTGGGTGCTATCTAGTACATTGAACCACTTACCAAACGTAATGTCATCATGTTTGACATCATTTTTTGGGTTTCGCTAGAGCCGCCATGCAGCTATGGCCCCAGTAGTATTGATAGCAGCATCGTTGGCCACCGAAGAGACGTGGATGAACACACCGGATTTCTGCTTCGCGCCTGGGCCATCTTCTATCTCCACGAGTACGACGTGGATCCACCGTACTTCGCGGTACCGCTGACGGAGTTCTGCGCGTCTCCGGCGGCGATGGGAAAGTGGACTGCGAGTTGCCCACACCGGGAATTGAACTCAGGACCGCGCGGGAACAAAACCTACAAGAAAGCATTGATACCACTACACTAAGCAGACAATACTGGGGTAGGAAACATCATTGGATACACCACGTCATCCACATCAGAAATTTAATTGCAGCCTTTCTTACATTGTAGAGACAGACATTAAATGTGCCGATTCATAGTGTGGACTTGTGGTAATTGGCCAGAATTCACACAGTTTACTTCACTGTGTCATAGAGTGAATTTCACGCAGTTTGTAAACCAAACAATAAAGTATGTGAATGACTAGGTGGAATCCAACCCAGCGAAAATTAATTCACCTTATAACTCTGCGAATTTGGAATTTCACTGTGCAGCTATGGTTTTTTCGCAGAGCTCTTTGGCCACAGTGCTACGCCCCAAACCCTGTCCCGGTATATCGCTTACACATCACAATTCATCGCATCCGGTCCCAAATACCTTTCGGGAGCGCGCCACTTCCTCAAAGATCTTTATCCTGAGTGAGACGAAGTCCGCGGGGATCCCTTGGTTCAAGCGACATCCGCGGCACGAAGAAAGCTCGAGCCGACCCCGTCCATCGAAAGCTTCCATTGCGCCCTTCACACCTCGACGCGTTCCTTCAGCTTGCCGTCTGCAGCGGGTTATATGACGACTTCTTATTTGCGGTACTACTCTCCTGCTGTTTTTACGGATGCCATCGTTCAGGGGAGCTCGTCATCAAGAACGAGAAATCCTTGTTTGACTGGCGAAAGATCATCAAGCGCGCGTCGTTGGTCTTCGTCGGCAAGCGAGCTCAATACCACCTCCCATACCACAAGGGTGATCCGTTCTATCGTGACTCTCGCCACGGCGCACGCGCTGCTCTTTTCTTACGAGAAGACGGTTCTATCCCCACGCGGTCGTGGGTCGACAAGAAATTTTTCGCGCTCTTGGCGCCCCTCCCCACCAGTTGCAAAGTTGGCGTCCTTTCGGCTGCTTCCAGCTATTGCGGCACGCAACAAATGGCCTATTCGTGCCGTGGATTTTTATAGCGCATTTCTCAATGGTGTCCTGGCAGAGGACGAGTCCATTTATCTTGAGCAAACCGCCCGGTTACGCCACAAAGGACCAGAAACATTTTCTGTTGAAATTGCACAAATCCATCTACGGTCTTCGGAAAGGTACTTACCAAGAATTGGTACGACTTCCTTTGTGAAGCTTTCACGATAGCCCCACAAACACCCACACATTTCCCATATCCGCCCGACTTGCGCCCGACGAAAATTTGTGTCCATATCTAGGTACACAAATATTCCGTTCGTCCCTTCTCCGGAAGATCCGGAAAGGGGCTTGGCTGAGGTCGCTGGAATCGGGATTTTCCGACCGCATGGGAAAACGAGTAATTGAAGAGGCCAAGCTCGAAGTGACTCCATTCCGCCGGCTATAACACATTGGCACGGGCATCGTCACGCAAGGCCAGCATTTTCTTCAAGAAAAGAGGGATAGGCGCGACCAGGGACAGAAGGTCAGAATTCTGGTTACAATGGCCAAGTCCGTGCCCAAAAAGGGCGGCACGGGGACCATCATCGTTCAGTCCAGACACGCCCGAGGAAGAAGCCGATTCGGACGATGACAGTGACAACGAGAGTATCGCCACCGATGCATCTTCCGATGATGAAGCGATGATACCGATCCCCTCCCCATGCGGCGTCTTCCTGCCGAGATGCCAACTGCCTAAAATAACCATCAAGCCCTCGGGGAACAGGCGCTCGCACGTACCTTGCTGGGAATTGGAGGATATGGGTGGCAAGTTCAGTGATCTTGCTGAATTTCTCCAGAATAATCGGGGCTCTTTATCTGGGGCCGACCGCGATGCCTTAGTTAAACGATCTGAGCCTCTCGAGAATTCTTGGCGGAGGTACACCGTCAATTTCTTGATGGTAAATCAATCTGTACTAAACAACTTCAGCTCTGGCGGAAAAAATCCCAGAAAAATGCGTGGATTGTAGGGTAGTACTCTACCTGTGCCAGTGCAAGAGGTATTTGGGATTGGGGCTTTTACTGAGGCGCAATTACGGCTGCATCAACCCGTAACCCGTACCCGTAAAATCACGTACGGTAGGTAGGTAGGTAGGTAGGATTACACGGCACGGTCCGAATAACGAACACCGGTTTCCAGGGATTATCCCAGTGTAAAAAGCAAGTAAAATTACACCATCGCCCCTGGACCACTCCCTGCAATCTAAGCCCCAGAACGCAGATCCCACAGGTTTCCCCATGCCCCACGGTAGACTTTAGATGACAGAAAGCAGCAGACTCAGTGACCTAGAATTAATTACGGAACGTACGGGTGCATCAAGCCATCAAAGTTGCTCATTTTTCGGACAATCGAGGCCATGTTTCGGGTCAAAATCGTGTACCGAGCGACGGAGATCATTCCGGCGCAGCGTTTGGCACAGGAAACACTCGAAAATTCCCAGAATTGGTGAAATTATGACCGATTTGATCAAATCAAACATCAGTTTACGGGGTAAGCTTACGGGTCTACGGTTAGCAGCCCTAACCGTCACTATCCCTTCTCCTGTGACCTTCTTTGCGTCACCAACCGGGACACAGAAATACTACTCCACTCAATCTTCGAGGCGGAAAGCTCATTTGTTGGGGGCCTCTCCGGAGAGGGCTTCGAAACGGCACCAATCATACGCAACGTACTAATTATATTAGAGAGGTTGTGCAAAAGCCGCATGGGCCGCATGTGGCTTTTGTGCATTGTGCAAAGCCGCACGGAAAAATACCACTTCGCTGACTTGTGTATCTGCATTTCAATGAAATACATATAATTTGGGCACATAGCGGCTGGGTGGGCTGTGTTTTAAATATCTTTCCATCCAAGTTGACCAAACAAAGGAGATCAAGTGCAAACCGCACGTGCGTACAAATCTGACATCATACAAACTGCCGTCAATGCGGGCTTTCCCACACTTGGGTGACCCCAGCATCGCGGGGCACATACTTTGGGCATTTAATACCATGTTCGTGGTACATGGCTAGTATTGAGCAAGGCTTTACAGCGGTTTGCAAAATTGATGACAGTAGCCGGAAAAAAAAAACATCCCACAACATTTCAATGTCCCCTGTTTCCGTTGCCATATCTCGCCCTCTGAACCGATTTCCGCCATTTTCGAAGGCACCAGTGTTGTTTTCAACAATCAAACCATGAGCTCGCGGCTTTAAATCGGCCAAAAACGGATCACGGCAAGTTCGGCCGTTTCAGCGCGCTTCGAATGATGCCACCCAATACGGCTCGCTTCTTTCTCGCTTCCCCGTACCTCCTTCTTTCCTTCTTCTACGATGCCACAGGGCCCGCGCAGCTCTCAATGCACCCGCACAGCTTCGAGTTGTTCAAATACACGGTTTCTCCCACAAAAACCTCGCGGACGCCGTAAACTTCAACACATTGAATCCACCTCTCAAAAACTCATCTGGGACGGACTGCCAGCCAAACTGGGGGAGAAATCCAAGCACCGGGGACAGGGATCTGAAGGGCATTGCAACTGCATGGTACTACGTGGCCTTGGTTTCTTTGCTGTATTCCGATGGCTCTTTCTATCACAACAATATTTCGTGCCCTCAATTCGGACAATAGCTTCTCCTCTTGGCGGTTTTTCGAGGAACCGCTCTAGCCGCAAGCAGGGAGCACGCCGCGGCAGGCCTCGCGCCTGTGACGGCGAGGCCCCCGAACATACCCTCTATTCTATAGTTGTTGCACATCGACGAAGACATATAGGGAGCTCGTAATTTTCTGGGTTATTCAATCATCTGCTCAGTATCGGATCGGTCCTGAGTTTCTGTGCTCTCTGACGCAGGTGTGTACGACTTCCTCTGTCCACATCCAGCCCCTCCCATACAAGTGTTATCCCCAATCTCCGCACACTGGCTTTCGTTGGATATTTCTGCATTAGACACCGATGACGCGCGCAGCTGTCCCGCCATCGTCACCTGCAATCGATCCACAACACCCCGCGAGAGAATCCGTGAGTTTGGCGTGACATGCTCGATTACAGCCACCGAGCGCATTGTTCACGCGCGTGCTCACTATCTACGACAATCGCTGGTGGCGAGATGAGAATGAACGAAAGGGGGGCATGAGCACCGCAGGGAGCCAGCGAATAACGACCGACGATACATTGCGAGATGAAGTTGCCGGTGACGGCGGGCGCGGCGATGGTATCGAACGTGCCAAAACGGTCAGCTGGGGTTGCAGCGGTACCGCGCGAGCGACGTACTAGGGGATGCAGGGCTGGTTTACGGTGCTGGTCGTGGTTCCCGCTGTCAACGAACTGATTGAGAAGATGCGTGAAGGATGGGCAGAAAAGTGGAACACACTGAGCCTCGAGACCGAATATGTTGAAGTGCAGTGCAGCAATCTCTCGGTGGGTAGAGCTTTGGGAACAAGAATGGCCAGCTTATCTACAACAAAACACGATATCTCAGCCTAACGCAGCCTCGTTGACAGCCACTAGGCTGCAGACCGATCTCTAGTTGTAGCATACCCTGAACTCTTGACCTACCACAATGCAGCCCCCAATACGCACGCAGAAAATTAACCCCCGGTGAACCACGTTGTGGAATATCGTCTGAATTTTGTGGCTGTGCACATATTGTATCTCCTCCCGATGCAGAAGTGGAATGACTGTTCGTTTTCTGGAAAAATTACGATCCAGCTAGGTGTTTGCAGCCACAAATACGCCCTCAGAAAATTTAACCCCCCGGCGAATCAAGTTGTCGAATATTTTCTAATTTTTGTGGCTGTGCGCATATTTTATCTCTTCCCGATGCAGAAGTGGAATAAGTGTTCATTTTCTGGTGGAATAATGATCCAGCGAGGCTAATGCAGCACCAACATACGTTCAGAAAATTTAACCCCCAGTGAATCACGTTGTCGAATATTTTCTAATTTTTGTGGCTGTGCGCATATTTTATCTCTTCCCGATGCAGAAGTGGAATGAGTGTTCATTTGCTGGTGGAATAATGGTCCAGTGAGGTTAATGTTGCCGCCACTTCACTTCACTCAAAGTGACTTCGAAGTTTCAC